TACAAACTTAAAAATTAGCTCAATCGGAAAGAGCTTTTCACAAGCAAGAAAAAGAATTGCGTTTTGTATGTAAAGAATTATAAAAATTCCAAACTAGTGATACATATCACAGTTACGAATGACTCACAAGACAAAGGATTTAAAATAATTTTAAAAAGAATTTTAAAAAGAATTTAGTATAATACCTATCCTGTGAAGAGCTTCAAAACTCGTATAAAAATATTCAAGTGACGAAAAACGAATGGGTTCAAATTTGTATAAAGTCGGAAAGTCAATCGGGATGTTTTCAATGATTTAAGCCAAAAGTCTCTAAACGAATAAGGTGTTAATTAAAACGCAGAAATAAAATTTTAAAGAATTTGCCAATTCAATTTAAAATTAATTTCAGTTTGTTAGAAATAGGTTTGGGTTTGGATAGATATTTTGGGGGTATGGAAGTGTAGAGGGAAGAGAGGTCCTTTTCCGCCTACTTCTAAATTTTTTAAACTATATGTAGATATACAAGAATTATTTCAAAACTCGTATTTATTTCAAATTTTGCGCACTTTTACATCAATGCGTACGCTTTCTCTGATGCTCATGTATGTACTTGTATGTACCTTATCGATATAACATTTCTTAACCCGAAAATTGTCACTTTTAGTACTTTATAACTTTTGCTCTACTTGAGAGCAACGATTTTAGCTTTTACATTCGAATTCAACACGCCGAAATACATATATTGTTAAATTTCAGACAAATCGGTAAGGAAGCCACTTTCCTTCACATTCATCAACCTTCATATTCCTTATCATCCTATTTGATTCCCTTTTGATATTCAAGGATAGACACGTGTGGATATTTTTCCTTCACCTGAGCAACGAATGATGTCTGACTATCACGTGTGTCGTCGAACGCGTTCCCGGCGCGCATAACATAGATTGTTTGCAGTTTAGGAAACTGTTCGAGAATTGCGAAATTAGACGTATAACCCAAGTATATTTGTCTTAAGTTTTTACACATTGTCAGTTCTTCATAGACATCGTAATTGAAAATTATATCGGAATTTCTCAAATTGACTTCTTCTAAGCATTGACAGGAGAAAAACAATCTACTCAAACTATGCTTATCGATTGTGGAGCGATCTTCGGGGTACATGTCATTCCTGTAACAAAAGTCATATTATTATGCGGTTTTTCAATCGCAATAAGAAAAACAACATAACAGTTTCATGATGTTTGCAAGAAATGTAAATACACATTTTGATAAAGAATAATATGTGTTTTAAAAGAAAATGTAGCACACACGTACTTGTCCATCATTGTCAGTTTTCGTAAATTCTTGCATTCAGCGAGGGCATGAATACCTCGCGATGTAATAATACTGCAGCCCGATAAATTTATTATTTCCAAGTCTGGACACGAATTTTTTAACTGTATTGTAATTGCGTCTAAATCTAGTAATTCGACTTCATCAATATAGCCAGGCATGCGCAGATTTAAGTTACGCATCCGGCGAGTTTTTTGCAGTATTTTGCAAAGAGATTCAGTTCTTATAGGGGAGCCTTCAAGGTCTAATTTCTCTAGAAATTCTAGATTTTTGAAACTCGAAACTTTTTGGTCTATTCCCTCCAGAAAAATACAATAACTGAGATCCAATACTAAAAAAAAAAATGTACATATATTAGTCATATACAGTTTATCTGTAATCTTAACAATCATATTTATTACCTTTCAAATTTTTGCATATTTCTAAAATTTTTAATAGACATAATTCGTCAACAAATTCGCAGTCTTTTAATCGTAAGTGCGTTAAACAATCGCCGCAACTTTGAAGAAAGTTTACGAAATCCGTAGCAGAAATGCAGCTTCTTGTAAGATCCAACTGTTGTAAATATTTACATTTGGATGCAAAATAAAACAGAATTTTATCATAACAGAAGGATGAATCCTTAGAGTATTCTTTTTTTAAATTTCGTAAGTTCAAACATTTAAAGAGAAAATTTTTCGATTTTTTGCATATCTCTAAAATGTTTAATAGAGATAATTCGTCAACAAATCTGCAGCTACTTAATCGTAAGTGCGTTAAACAATCGCTGCAACTTTGAAGAAAGTTTACGAAATTTGGAACAGAAATGCAGCTTTCTGTAAAATCCAACTGTTGTAAATATTTACATTTGGATGCAAAATAAAACAGAATTTTATTATAACAAAAGAATGAATCCTTATAGTATACTTTTTTTAAATTTCGTAAGTTCAAACATTTGAAGAAAAAAGAATCCTGTGTTAAATTATTGAGGCGTTTATTTACTTTGCTCATACGGCAAAACGACCTTATATCCAAGTATTTTAATATCATTAGTATTATTTCATCCTGCAAAAACAAAATATAAAATTTTAATACATGAGATTATATTATAATAAACTATTACGAAAAATGAACTTCGAATATTTTACAGAAAGCGTAGAAAAACTGTCACGTTGCTCCTTGGATTCTCCCGAAGAGAGTTTGATATCTTCTATAAATTTTACATAATTCCAATGATTTCTTAATAAAGGGTGATTCACATATCCCTGCTTAGAAGATGGCACATCTTCCTTCCAAAATACTTGATTGTGCGCGAGCTTGCTCTTGTGAAAATTCGTTGCTATGTCGCTGCAAATAACATTAAAACACAAATTTATTTTTATTATTAACACTACGCTGACAGCATGTTTTTAAAAGCGTTTCTATGTAACAAAAAATCTATAAAAATTCATTGTGTCATCTTTAAAATTTCAAAAAGTGATTTCTACAGAGGTCGGAACTATTGCAATTTCTTTTTATTGTAAAATGCGAGTTTTGATAAATAATAGCATATTTTTTGAATGTGTGACTAAAAAAAATTATTCAAGGGTTTTATAGTTCAACAATGGTACTTGAAAGAAAAATACACGAAGAGAACCTAAAAGAAGTTGAATTATTAAAGGACTTAAAAATTGGTACTTAATTTCGGTATACAGAAAAAATGAGATTCGAAGACAAAAGCAATAATGCTATTTTTTTTAAGGTTACTTCTTATTTATTTTTTATAAGTAGGATCAATATTGAAAAAAAAAAAAAAAAAAAAAACACGTAAAATGCAAAATTACTTTTCCGTGGACAAAATTAACGAGATAGAGCCAGTGATGCTAGACGGCAGACGAAATAGCATGCTACAGCATGTAAAGGGCATGGCTTTGCAAGGCACAGAAGGGATCCTTCATTAAAGGATTCCTAAGGCATAGTAGAGTCACGACATCTTGAGTTTCGGCAAAATAACAGAGAAAGAGAAAGCGATATACATTCTTATCGCTTTCTCTTTCTCTCTTATATCTCTTTCTCTTTCTGTTTCACGTACTTTTGCCGAAAATGCGAACCAATCAAAAGTTGCTGCTACGTACGTGTCGCGACTCTTATTAGAAGGACTCTAAGGGCCTAAAGCAGAATGGCTGTCTTAATGACCTTAAGGCATATATATAACACTGCCAAGACAGCCATTCTGCTTAGGCCCTATTAAGGCACGGACAAGCTCCTCCATCCGTGTAGCCGACACGCCGAGCGTAACATGCGCTGTTCCGTCTGCCGTTTAACATCCGAGGTGGACCCCCTGGGTCTTTGAATGCACACGCTACACTTCGATCGCGCAACGAACTGTCGAACAGTTCGCTTGGCAGTTACATGCCCACTATAACCAAGTTTTTTTGTGGAGGAGAGCCAACGTAAGCGCTGAAGCTATTCCCGTGGGAATCATAAATGAAAAATCGACTGTGCCTTAAAAGTCCCACAGTGTCCGCGCAGTGTTAAGAAAATAATATAAGATTACTTAATGTCGACAATTATAATACGTACCTTTTATAAATAACGCAATATTTAGGAAATTCCTTTAGAAGATCAAGTATATCCAAGTATGCATTTTCATAATCACGTGTTGTATTATAAGGGTCAAACAATTTACAGGAACCCCAAAGGTAGTAGGCCATAGAAAATGGTTCTTCTTCAATTCTTGAGAATTCTTCAGAACAACGAATAGGACAAAATCTCTCTGAACAAGAATGTCGTTGTGCCCGAATGCGGTGTAAGAGATTAGTTATACTCTTATCTTCAGGATTTTTAGGAAAAATCAATTTTGATGTACCGATCAGCATCACAGCATCTAGCTGTGTGCAAGAGTTGGATATAAACTGTAGTCTGAGCATTTTGGTTTTAAAGTTACAAGACCGTAAAGCTGGAGAAAATATCCGTGATTCCGACGTGAAAAGTTTGAAAGAATTTGGTTGACAAAGTTTGTAGAATTGAGGCGGTCCATCCCATAATAAAATCCACCGACCCTCATCTTCAGAATCTTGAGCCCAAACTTCAGTTACGTTCCCAAAATTATATACTTCATATATAGAGATTCTGATTGGATATACAGCTTCATGAAACTCGAGATCTTCAAAATAAAAATTACAACCTTTTTTGAACACAAACATTTTCCTTAACAATATTTTACTTTTCAATTCAAATGTCACATACCAATATGATGAAAATAATAATCGTTTTCACAGAATGGTACAAAAGTATATGGCACTTGTTTCTGCCATGGAGATATTGAAATATCAACATCATACTTCTTCTGTATTAAAGAGTAAAAAAAGTACTGAATATTACCAAATGTTGTAGCATAAATTAGATTTTGCGATTATATACTTTCTACAGAACAGAAAATACACATACCAAAAGAAAATCTTCATGGCTTGGAAAATTGCTAGGTTTTCCAATTATATTATTACGAATATTACTTAGGCTAGCAGTATTCTTACAGTCCTTTGTGGATATATTGCTATCCTTCACAAATTGATAGATGAAATCAACATAATCCTCT